GATGTCTGCTGATGCTAGCATCCCGATGAGGGCCTTTACGAACGTCGTCTTCCTGCTGCTATTCGTCTCAATGCAAGGTGGGGTCATGAGCAACAGCGCCGCGAAGACCTCAATACCCCAAACTTGCGGGAGCGACCTTAGGATAAGTATGCATGTAAATGAAAAATACCATTAGAATCGACTTCTATGCTATGCAATACAATACAATACATATGGGCAGGCAGTAAGCAGGAGCTGAGACGATGAGGTGGTCATAGAATACCGAGATGTAGCGATACTGTATCAGCAGGGTCTAGGTGTCTGGGCGCCAGGGGTACTTCCCGAGAGCGTCATGTGATCCTCGGAGTCCGCCAGAGTCCGGCAGACTCGCCGGACTCAACAGTCTCGACATTTTGCTCTTCCTGAACATTGCGCGCGTGCTGCACACGTTCGACATCACCCCGGCTCTCGACGACCACGGGCAGCCGATCGTGATTGAGCCGCGGATGAAGAACGCCCTGGTCTCGTACGTGCATGTTCTCTCTGGGAACGACTCCACGGTAGATGACACGTTCGTCCGGCGCAGTGGGCCTGTGGACTGCCGGTGCACCATCAAGCCCCGCTCGGCTCGCGCAGAGGCTCTCATCCGAGGGGTCAGCTCGGATCCGTTTGAAGGTCGTCCGTAGTAGGTGTGAGCCCATATGTGGATCAACGTTACGCTACTTTTCAGAAAGGAACAAGAAAGACCAGAGATAAAGATACTTGCCATAAGACACAAGGTCGCGCATGTACGATAGGCTCTGTTGGTCCCTTTGTCCTACGGAGGTTGCTTCCAGTCCGTCTAGGTTCTCGGGCAAATGCACTTCGACGAACGCGTCCATACGATACGAAACTACATAGTTCGACAAAGGAGACAGCAAATATCGATAGGACAGCATCAGTTGGTGGTAATACATTGCTCGTCTGCAGTTATGTCCGAGGAGTATCCAACCCAAAACCTTGTGTCCATAAGCGTCTACACCAGTGTCATCTATCTATACATGACATAGCGTAGCTTCGCGACATGACATCCAGCAAAGCACGTCTATAGCGGGTTACTGTACAGTATGGATGTATGCGTAACAGTTCATGAGTTCATGAATGCAGTGTCCGGGAAGTATGCAGGCATGGACGATGAATGGCATGGCCAAGCATCTCGAGTGTGCGGACCTTCGCTGCGCATATATGGGGCAGGAAAGGAGTATGCAGCGCGCATCAGGGTCCATGCATCACCAGGGAATCGAAGCCGCCGAACGAGTTCGACCTGGGCCGAGGCGCGCGGCGATCGTTGCCCGGGCGGAGCCTCGCAGGACTGTCGGGTGGTGAGGTCGGTGGTGCCTGCCCGGCGGCGTGCGTTATCGATCTTGTGGGGATGGGGCGGGAAGTCGACGAGATGGGATGACTCGGCTTCCTTGCCAAGAATGGCGTGACGCCGTAACTCGGAGTTCGGCTTGCCGTCATGGTCGAGGAGAAACGGGGACGAACAGGCTGCGACAATGTGGGGGAGGAGAGATTGTGGAGTGCGAGACGGGCAGAAGCGAGGGTGTCGTCCGGGTCCGCATAGGACAAAGGAGCCATGTACAGCATGTCGCTTTCGGACGAGGATGCAGAAACTGCAAACGAAGTGCGGAGAGGACTGCTGCTAGTTGATGAGGATATTACCGAGGGAACGAGGCATGGAGGTGCACGAGAGCCATCGAAGGAGGACGGGTGACGTTTTCGCAATACGCGTCTAGGTCTTCCTGTCTCGGCTTTACTGGACGATGTTCGAAGGATGGGCTTGCTCTCCAGGCGAGGAAGCGTGGACGGACCGGCCAAGCAGAGCTTCTCGGACGAACTGTGTGTTGAGCGAGTCGGAGAGCTTTGGGTCACTTCATGGATCACGGCGTCCAAGTCTCGAACCGGAGTCGTGCGTGGACGGCGACGGTGCTGCATCATCCCCCGGTGTTGCTCGTTGAGCTCCATCCAGGAGCTCAATCTTTCGCAATTGACAGAGCAATGCACCTGGTCAGTAATCGTCGGCCGAAACTTCTTGCTGCACTCTTTACAAAGAGCGGCATTGGAAGAGCCGATGAACGAGCTCTTGGGGGGCGACTTGGGAGGGATGGCGAGTATGTTCTTAATGGTCTTCATGGTGGAGGCGGTAGCGAATCGTCGAAACACACTCAGCGGAGAGTGTTCGATCCCATCACTTGTATCCTACAGGACCAAGGGCTTTATGAATCTTCTCCGAACGGTGCCACAGGGAAAGGATGGTGGGGACAAAGCAGAGTCGCAGACTCACCACAGTAATGAGCGTCACTTGCGGCTGCTTCAATGCGGCAGACAGCTGCTGCAGGTCCATGAGCAGGGCAGCCTGTAAACTCACCGCTTTGCAGGAGGGAGGGGTGCAAGAAGCGTAGTCGCAGAAAAGCGGGCGGCCAGGTACCCCGCAGGCTGTGGACCGATATCCGATTCGGCAACAACACGATGCACCCACTTTACCTAATCATCCCTGACGCGTCCACCCCACCCCCTCCACAGCCAGCAAATTGGGTCTTCGAGAAGAAGCTGGACACCGCAGATGCACATCTTCGAAGCGTAGGCGGAGGGACTAGCGAGCCACCTGTCATCGACGCACCGCAACCTTGTCCATCCAGCAGGGTTTTGTCCGAAAGTGGCCTAGTGACTTATTCCGCCGTCGGACAAGCACAGAGCGCCACCTATCATCGCAGGCCATTGATTTGCACAAGTAGAAGCTGTTCAAGACAACGAGTCATCGTGTGCCCCCGGAAGGACTACTGGAACAAAGCGGCCGCCACGGAGTGTCCGACAAGGTTTGGTGACCGGGAACGGATGGGCGCTTCCCACAGACGCTCCCTACGGTAGAAGCACGTGCCCACCCCCGCCAAACTTTTTGGGGCGCCAAATGAAGGGACATCTGAATATACTCGCCGGTCTTCGTCTTGCCACAGTAACTTCCTCTCTTCTCTGGGTCGCTCTGTCGTTCGCGCTTTCTGTTTCATACACTTTCTCTGGATACATTACTACCGCGGCTCTTGTGCTAGGTTCGATCCCCTCTTAGCATACACTATCTCCATGCGGAAGCAGCTCGACCCGCGCATCCCCATCCTCATCAATAACAATGTCAAGAAGAACCACCGTTCTTTCATAGTGCTTGTCGGAGACAAAGGCAGGGATCAGGTACTCACGATTCCTACGTAGCGAGTTAACCCGCGCTGACTTCTCCAGATTGTAAACCTGCACTTCCTTCTCTCGCAAGCGCGGGTTTCTGCTCGCCCTTCCGTACTATGGTGCTACAAAAAGGAGCTTGGCTTTACAACGTACGGCTCCTATCTATGTTGCTATATTACTGGGCTCATATTGTAGTTATATAGACATCGCAAAAAGCGCGAGGCTAAAATCAAGAGGGAAGTCAAGAAAGGAATCCGCGAACCCAATGAGCAGGATCCCTTTGAGATTTTTATCACTGTCACCGATATCCGGTATACGTACGTGTACAGGCCATTCGCTCATCTTTTGTGTATTGAGACCATGTCTGAAGGTACTACAAGGAGTCACACAAAATCCTCGGCCAAACATTCGGCATGTGCGTACTGCAAGATTTCGAGGCGATCACGCCCAACCTTCTTGCCCGGACAATAGAAACGGTTGAAGGTGGAGGGCTCGTGGTGATCATGCTCAAGACCATGAAGTCGCTGAGGCAGTTGTACACTATGACCATGGTACGTGCGTCTGTTACCTACGAACTGCCGTTCGCCATATGCCCACACCCACCACTCAGGATGTTCACGCGCGTTACCGGACATCCGCACACGACTCAGTAGTCGCTCGTTTCAACGAGCGGTTCATCCTCTCTCTTGGCTCATGCGACGACTGTCTCGTACTCGACGACGAGTTGAATGTCTTACCGATCTCTCGAGGCAAGGATATCAAGCCCATAGAGGAGGTCCGGGGAAAGAGTAAAGAGGAGTCCGAGCTCAAGGACCTCAAGGACAGCCTTGCGGATACGAAACCCATTGGCGAGCTCGTCAAGCTCGCGAAGACGATCGACCAAGCGCAGGCTATCCTCACCTTTGTCGATGCCATCGCCGAGAAGACGCTATCTTCGACTGTCACACTTACCGCTGGTCGTGGTCGTGGAAAGTCTGCTGCGCTTGGTCTCGCTATCGCCGCAGCACTCGCTCATGGGTACTCGAATATCTTTGTCACGAGTCCTAGTCCGGAGAATATGAAAACGCTGTTTGAGTTCATCTTCAAGGGCATGGACGTGCTCGGCTACGAGGAGCATCTAGACTATGATATCGCACAGAGCACAAACCCCGACTTCAACAAGGCAATCGTACGTGTCAACGTGTTCAGGAATCACCGGCAGACCATCCAGGTAGGCTTTCTCCCCCCCCTCCCTACATTGGTTGATGCTCATCAAAGTGTGCAGTACATCCAACCGCAAGACGCACATGTCCTTGGTCAGGCCGAACTCGTCATCATCGACGAGGCCGCTGCCATCCCTCTTCCCCTCGTCCGCAACCTGATCGGTCCCTATCTCGTCTTCATGGCTTCTACGATCAATGGATACGAGGGTACCGGCCGCTCCCTCTCCCTCAAGCTCATCCAGCAGTTGCGCGAGAGTACACGCCCATCCCTTACCAAAGACTCTGCGGCTGCCGACGACGACGCCGCGTCCGCCCCTTCATCCTCCAAAAAGCCTCTCACCAAGGCGCCGCCCAAAGCACGCACGCTGCGCGAGATCAAGCTCGAGACGCCCATCCGGTACGCCGCGGGGGACAAGGTCGAGAAATGGCTCAACAGCCTGCTCTGCCTCGACGCGACGATCCTCCCGCGCCAGACGCACATGAGCTGCCCGCACCCGAGCAAGTGCGAGCTCTTCTACGTCTCGCGCGACACGCTGTTCAGCTACCACCCCGCGTCGGAGGTGTTCCTGCAGCGCATGATGGCGCTCTACGTCGCGAGTCACTACAAGAACCAGCCGAACGACCTCCAGCTGCTCTCCGATGCGCCCGCGCACCACCTCTTCGTCCTCCTGCCCCCGCTGAAGGATGATGAGACGCACCTCCCCGAACCGCTTGTCGTGCTGCAGGTCGCGCTCGAGGGCAACATCAGCCGGCAGACGATTATGGAAAACCTAAGTCGCGGATTCCGCGCTGGAGGTGACATGATCCCTTGGTTGATCTCGCAGCAGTTCCAAGAGAACAAGTTCGCGCTGTTGTCGGGCGCGCGCATCGTCCGTATTGCAACACATCCAGACTATGCGAACATGGGCTATGGCGCGCGCGCGCTGCAAGCGCTGAATGCGTACTACAGCGGGCAGTATTTCAACGTGGACGAGGCGATCGACGCGGAGCAGTCGTACCCAGATCCCGCCAACTTCGACGAGGATACGACGCTGCTCACGGACGAGCCCAAAGTGCGCGCAGCGACGGCGATGCCTCCTCTTCTCCAACGCTTGACTGAACGCAAACCGGAGACGCTCGACTATCTTGGGGTTTCGTACGGTCTCACGCCACCACTTCTCCGGTAGGTAGCTTCTGCGCATGACGACAGACCGTCTGACTTGCTCACGACGTCATGCAGATTCTGGAAGCGCGCGGGATACGTCCCACTGTACTTGCGACAGACGCAGAGCGAGCTGACGGGCGAGCATACATGTGTTATGGTGCGGGGTCTGAACTCATCGACGGAGGATGAGTTGCAGTGGCTGAGCGAGTTTGCCAAAGGTGAATCTCAGTTGCAGCGCATTTTGACAATTGCGGCGGACTGACGGGGTATTTGCGTGAAGACTTCCGGAGACGTTTCTTGAACCTGCTCTCGTACAAGTTCCGCGAGTTCGGCAGCGTGACAGCACTGAGCGTACTCGAAGCGGTAAACGCAGGCGTGAAGAAGCTCGACGAGGATCCAGCGCGAGAGCTCGGGTCCACCGAGCTCTCCTTCCTCCTCTCGCCGTTCGACCTCAAGCGCCTCGACTCGTACGCGAACAACCAGCTCGACTACCACGTCATCATGGATCTCCTTCCCACCGTCGGCCAGTTCTACTTTGAGAAGCGGCTCGGGCCCGACGTGCGTCTGAGCGCGGTGCAGAGCTCGATCCTCCTGGCGCTCGGGATGCAACGCAAGACGATCGAGGAGATCGAGGCGGAGCTGAACTTGCCCGTCTCGCAGGCGCTTGCACTCTTCGTGAAGGTTGTCAAGAAGATCAGCAAGCGGCTGCTCGACGTGCAGAAGGCCGCGATCAGCGCGACAATCCCGGACAGAAGGGAGGATGAGGTGAAGCGCACAGACGCTGAGGGAAACAAGGCGGAGTTCAGGCCGCTTGAGACGACGCTGGAGGAGGAGCTAGAGGAGGCGGGGGACGAGGCTGCGCGTGCGCTGAGGGAGAAGCAACGCGCGATGCTCGATGCGCTCGACTTCAGCAAGTGAGTCCTCTCGTGTTTCGCTATCTGCTGTGTCCGTGATCTGTGTTGGCCCCCGCGGGATATCGGTGGTGGCTCAGCTTGGTGGTTTGCCCGTCGGGTCACAAGGCTTGGCACCCTCGCACTTCTGCTCGGTCGAGCTTCGCAGATCTCGAGATGGTGTCCTGTCTCTCGGATTGCGCGGGGCCCCGCGCCTTGGCTTTGCTCGGCGTTCTTGGCCTTAGCCCGCGCTTCTTCTCGCGCGCTTCCTGTTTACGTCTCGGTCGCGCTGATCGTTCTTAAACTCCTCATCGTACACCCTGCATTCTCTTTGTCCCTCTTGGCCGGCTACGGGATCCCTGATCTTACACAGAACGTAGGCTGACCTTGGCGCAACGTGGCACCTAACATAGATATGCGATCAACGATGCGTCTGCGGATTGGAGCGCGGCAGAAGCACAGGTTGCGAAGCTCGCGTCAGGCGGGCAGGGCAAGTCGACACTTGTCTCGGTCAAGACTTCTGCGGTCGTCGGACAGAAGCGCAAAGCCGAGGACAAAGGGAAGGAGGATAAGAGTGGGGAGAAGAAGGCGCGGAGGAGTATGAAGAAGAGCAAGGCGCGGTGAGCCTGCTCTGTGTCGTCGTGGCCATGTACTCTGTTTGCTTTCTCTGTAGGGCTCCTATGCCCGACATTTGGGCCTTCATTCGAATGGCGTCATTGCTTCACGCAAACGTATCCACTACCGATTCCTCTTGACATCGATCTCTCACTGCTATCAACGTCTGCCACAAGTTTCGTTGAGATGATACAGCCGCTGGGAAAAACAAGTGAGCTAGAAGAGCGCGGTGAGCTGCGCTTGTTTCACGGTTCCGTTTCTGGTTGCGTCATATGCGCGTTCGCGAAACGGATGTGCCCCCCTTTTTTGGGCTGATTATGGGAGTGGACAACAAAGAGACGCAGATACCGTGACATCTGACATGACTACAAGACGAATAAACCGGACACTGGATCCTAGGATGTACCGCGTCGGTACGTGTCAGTACTCCATTGAGCTCGCTGAGGCCCGGAAGAGCTCCGCACGACGCGCACAGCAGCAGAAATTGACACCGGAACACGGAGATATGTTGGTGACCACTTTGCTCCATTCTTCTACCGGCTGAGACGGTGTTCGACCCTGGGCTGCCCAGGGTTAAGTTCCACTGTCACGCCATCGGAAGAGCGTCGGCGAACAAGTAACCATTGTATCATCGAATACAGTAGGTCCGTCCGCGCCAGGCACATCGAGTCTCGCTGGTCACATACGTCTCGAGGCGATACAAGTCATTGCAAAATGCCCGAGGTGGCCCTATACACGGGTGGCATGTGGTGGGAACAGCCCGCACAGCAGAGAGCGAGAGCGACGGCACAATAGTGGCAGCGACGTAACCGACGTAAGATGGACGGTGCCAAAGATGGCCGCTGCGCGTCCGTCGCGGTCTCCGGACAACGGTCCGACTAACCCAAGTAGGAAAAGCGATACTCCGGCGAGTACGGTGTAGTTGTATCTATCACACAATCGGGGCGTCCTGAGTGGAACGCCTTCAATTTCAAGGTCATGTTGGAATCCGCTTCCGTGCACGAGCATGAAGCACGGCGGCGCCGACGGAGCCGACTACGAGGAGGCGGGGCTCGGAAAACACTGTGCGGCGGGGCCCCACATGGATGGACGTGCGGAGGACGGGCGGAAGGTACGCGGGAAGACGCGTTCGGTGGTGGGACGGTTCTCATATGTCAGATGCATCCATCAGTGATTACTTTGGGTTGGGGTTACTCAGTCCATATCTGAGTCGCAGATACCCGCCGAAGAGCCGACCAATGGGAATTCCATCATATATATCCCTCCATCCATGACGGGAGGCCCTCGACGGCTGAGTGTGGATCCCCTCAGTACAAGGTTCCCTCTTCCCTAGGCTTGTCTCCCCCCGTCTTTGCGTACGATGGCTCCCTACTTCCTACGCAGCCTCATCCCCCGCCGCGAGGCGCGAACGGAGGGCCGCCCCCTCCTCCAGGCCCTCGCTACTGTGACATGGGTTCAGTGGGGCCACTTCTGGGCTGGGTACGTTCTCTTCGTTCTCTTTCCTTGGCGTGCCATCCTTTCCCCCTCCCCCCATACATTCCCCCGCATTCGCACGCCACCCCGCGTCGAACGCGATACCACTTGCGATGATCGTGGCCGATAACTGATCACGCCTTTCATGACGAATCTCTTGGCTGCGCCTACAACCCTTCGTACTCACGACGCCGACGCCCACAACGCCTTGAACGACACGAACGAGCAGTTGGCTCGCTTGGACGTGCGACGCGATTGACTTCTTCTCCGTCTCGCTATCCGTGACGAACCTCCAACATCAATTCGGGAAAAACACCCATACCATCGTGCGTTCCCATTTCAGGCAGTCGGCGCCTCGACTGACCGCATTCCATCTGTCAAGTCGACCGCCATCACGCTCACACTGCTCTTCCGCTCCGTGGGCGCAGTAAGTCATCCTTACAGCAGAATGTCTTCCATACGTGTGCGGAGCTGAGCTTCGGATACTGTCCCGTATAGGTCGTCTTCGGTATCCTCTCTGACAGATATGGTCGCAAATGGCCGCTCATTGGCAACCTCCTCTTGGTCTCCGTCCTCGAGCTTGGCTCCGGATTCGTCCAAACCTTCCCGGCATTCCTCGCTGTCCGCTCGCTCTTCGGTGTCGCAATGGGTGGCATCTGGGGCCTAGCAGCCTCGACCGCGCTTGAGAACCTGCCTGTGGAAGTCCGTGGTCTCGCGTCGGGCGTCCTGCAGCAGGGCTACGCCGTCGGCTATCTTCTCGCGGCTGTCATCAACTTGACGCTCGTCCCTGAGACCTCGACTTCATGGCGCTCGCTCTTCTGGTGCGCGTCCGGCATTTCCGCCTTCTCGGCGTTCGTCCGCTTGCTCCTACCCGAGAGCGCCGTCTTCCTTCGCGCGAAGGAGGCCGCGCGAGCGCGCGGCGGGAGCTCGACGAAGAGCAAGACGAGGATCTTCATCCACGAGACCGGGGAGATGCTCAAGCGGCACTGGCTTCTGTGCATCTACGCCGTGCTCCTCATGACCGGTGCGTGCTATTCTCGATGCGGCCTTCTCCCGTCTCGCAGCGTGCAACGTGATCGGCGGCGACGCTTGAATAAGCGTCGCAGCACAACGTGCCACTTGCATCATCTCCACTGCGACCGAGCGAGTTGCGAAGTACTGATTGGGAAGTGATACTGCAGGCTTCAATTTCCTTTCTCACGGATCCCAGGACCTGTACCCCACGTACTTGACACAGGCGAAGCTCTTCACCCAGCACGACGCTACCGTTGCGACTATTATTGGCAACTGCGTGAGTGGTTCCTGAGTATAGGCTCTCTACCTGCCACTCATTTTCCATGTGTCGCACAGGGTGCGATTGCGTGAGTATCAGACAACCTAAAGCATGGACCGGCCTGCTAACGGCACGAATACAGTGGGGGTGCCATTGCCGGATGGGTCAGCCAGTACATCGGCCGTCGGCTCACGATCATGTACGTCTTCGTCCAGAAGTCTCATCTCCGTTTCACGCAATTTTCTAACGTCTTCTTTAGCATCTTCGTTCTCCTCATCGGCGCATTCATCCCGCTCTGGATCCTGCCGACGGGTTTCGGTGCGCTTGCTGCTGGTGCTTTCTGCATCCAGTTTGGCGTGCAAGGCGCCTGGGGTGTGGTAAGTTGATATCTCTCCGCGGGGCATGTAAGGTACGACTGACTTTGCCGTGGTATCGCTTGGCAGATTCCCATTCAGCTTGCGGAGATCTCGCCACCGGCCTTCCGTGCCACCTTCCCTGGTGTTGCTTACCAGCTGGGTAACGTGAGTGATCCTGCGTACTGTCATCTAGTCGATAGGACTGACTGTATGCGCATCTCCTGCTTGTAGATGGTCTCCTCTGCGTCCGCGCAAATCGAAGCCAGTGAGTCACTTCTGCCTAATCAAGCTATACATCCGTGCTGACGGATGCGCGCCTCTTCTCCCTTCCCCTCCCCAACCACCACGCGTCCCATCCCACCCAGCCGGCGCCTCGAACCTGCACACGACGATCACGGGCAAGGACGGGAAGCCGACGGTCGTGTCCGACTACGCGACGGTGCAGGGCATCCTCATCGGCGTCGTCGCCGCGTTCGTGCTCGTCGTGACGATCGTCGGCCCGGAGAACTTCGGCTCGCACTTCGAGAAGCACAAGGCCGCGTTCGAGGAGGGCGGCGGCCGCGACGAGGTCGTCGAGGACGAGGACGAGAGCGCGAAGCCCTCGCGCCCGACGAGCGTGCAGATCGTTGACGAGAAGCGGAGCACGCCCGAGCCTGTTTGAGGCGAACATGCCGCGCGACGGACGGGGTGGTGACGATACCTTTCAGCGTGGCGGGGTTGGACGCTCCCGATGCACGCCGCGGTGTTGAGGCTTGCCCGGCCCGTGTGTGCGCGTGCTGCTGGGTGAGGTTTGGGACGTGCTGTTACGTGTCTGCGTATGTATACGTACATGTCATGACTGTGACGACTAGTTAGTGCTTTTGTTTGTACTGTATTTGTAACGATCTCTGTCGATTGATTGTGTTGGCGATTGATACACCATAAGGAGGCTCGAGAGTATATGGCGAGTGGTGTGAACTGGAAGGAGTGCCAGAGGATCTGTTGAGGTTCGTTGATGTTTACTACTCACTTCGCGGAGATGTCCTGATTGATGTGACACTAGGCGATCTGTTATGTCTATTCTACTCAACGCGAGTGCTTCATATGGTCATACACTGCCTCCGAAACGTGCTTGAACTCATCATTTGTGGTGCGTGCGAAGGGACGTGCTATTGACCAAGAGGGCTTTTGATGACGTTATGGGAATCGCGCCGTCCGGACTTATGAGACTGCCACGCCTCCACGGTATGCCGTCTCTTGACAGACTTCTTGTCTTCGTAGATGATCGCATGGTGCGTCTCGTTTGCTAAACGTCGCTGCAGGGATCCATCGTCCGCATCTCACACCAGCTATGATAGAACGTGGGGACTATGCTACAAGCATAGCAGGTCGGCATCCCGCGTGTGCCCGGGATGGAGCAAGGCGCTTCCATTCGATGTGATGTCGACCAGACGCAATGAAACCGGGCTTGCCTTCTCATTGCAGGCGTCGAGAATAACCTTGTTCATCAGAGGTCGATGAAGTTGGCGATTATCTCGTAGCCTGTCTGCCATAGTATAAGTCCTACCCATGGGCTCAGGAGCCTGATGAGCAACGCTTGCTTTCGCTCACCCCTCACTGGCAGCCTGCATCCGCAACCCACACAAGCTTTCGTCTTCGCCTGCGATGTCAATCCCCGATGCTGCTGGTATCATCGCAATTAGAGATGCTGGGTGAGTCACCGTCTGTGTTAGGCATCTATCCTGATCCCTAACAAACGCCTTGACCACCGTATAGGTACACAGCCACTCTCATGACGGCGGGTGTGGGAGGTTCGTATGTTCACATTCCGAGCGTGTCATTTGATCAATCCGGATCTCGACAGCTTGGGTCGGCTACGACTACCTCCTTACCGTCGGACGCGAGTCACGCTTGTTCTGGAGGCGTAAAGTGAACGCGGCCTCGATACTATTCTATACAAACCGCTACCTCGCACTGTTCTACTACGTCGCTCTTGCCTACTACCGAATCATATCATTTCCGTTCCCAGTAAGTCTCGAATGTGTGGCCTGAGCTTACGGCATTCGCCTTTGACTAATCTGTAACATTGAATAGGAGTAATACGATCTAACCAACTTGACTGTCTTGGAGCTGACATCGACCCAGATGTCTGACACAGTACGATGTCGACATAGGAATCAGGTATATGGAGTACCTCCCATGGGCAGGTCTGTGTCATGGATGCTCCTCTGGAATATCGTGTTGAACTCGGGGTTTGCATATAGTCTTCTCTGCTTTGCGCGTGTACGCCCTGAGTCACAAGAATTGGGCTCTGAGCGTGTTCACTTTCTTTTGCTCCGTTATCGCCCTTCCTCTGAACTATTATGTGAGACCGCACCTGCCCCGTCTAAACTTCCCCCCTCAGACCTGACCGAGCACAGGGCGACTTCCACCACACATCCGTCTCTGCTGTTCCGGCGCTTGGTTGCGTGTCGCAGGCGACAACGCCCTCTTTCCTCAGCCTCATGTAAGTGGCTATGTGGCTCCGACAGGGCGCATCGCTGACTTTGAGCCCAGCGGTCGGTATCATTACTTTCGAGACGATGCGTGCACCACCTGTCTCATGCACTGGCATTCATAGGCAGTGTTGTCATCCGCGGAGGCCAGATCATTGCTGACGCAATCGTCATCGGAGTCACATGGAAGGCGACGTACCAAGCTCGTAGCGAGCGGTCCATGTCCTATTTGATGACAGTCATGTTCAAGAATGGCAAGTGCACCGTCCGTCTGGCACGGCTCTAGTGTTCATTGACCATACAGGTACCATATATTTCGTGTAACCCTCCCCGTACGTATGGTGGACTGGGGCATTAACCCGTCGCAGTACCCAACTCCTGCTCAACGTCCTCCATCTCATATTTATCTTCCTTCCGGTAGGGCGTTACTTGGACATATGTATCGCTATGACATGCTCATGCAGTGACTTTGATCCAGGACGCCCCGCTGCACACATCTGTGACAAACACATCATACGTGAAGAAATTCTCTGAGCCGTTGAGTGTATAGTTGCAGAGTCCTTCCGCGTCGTGCTGATGTAAGAGACCCTACAGCATCACGGCAATCCTTATATCCTACTTCCTCTTGGACCTTCAAGAGGTCAGTCAGGGTATGGCGCAACACGGAGGAGTTTCCGAGAGTGAGGTCATGGGCTCGCTCACCTCCATAGACTTCGGTCCTGCGCTTGAGAATAGATCCCTGGCGGAGGAGCCATGGTCTGTCAGTTCGGGCTCTAGTGTGACGTTGGCAGGACGCGGTCTTCGACAGTGACCGTTGGTATGCAGACACCTGTCTTTCGCTAGCTTTGAGAGGCTGCGAGCTGGCTATGTTGAGAGTGATAGCTTACTGGCATGTATACACTGGTGCGCCGTAGTTATGCGAAATAGACAGTGAAAGATTGGAATAAGACAAGCAAAGACCGGAATGTATGATGACTGATCAGAGTACGATATTAGGCTGAAGCAACAGCTGTAGCAGTCTCAGCACGGCAGACTAGGAGACGATCGACGAACACATTTACCTGCTGGAATTCTCGAGCGATCGGCCTACGGACGCACTGGGAACGTGATATTAGTACGGTATAGATTTCAGAGCGGGAGTACCCGGACGCAAGCTCTACCGCAGGAAGCTGCGGCGCTATAGTCGTTTTGTCCCGGAAGCGAAGACATTTCACAATATTCATCAACCACGCCACCGCAGACGAGGCGTCCGCGTCAACACTTGTCGCGCTGACACAGCACGATGGATTGGGCTGCCATGGTGGCCAACATGAGCCTCCCGGCGAGCAAGCGGCGCGATCTAGGGGAGGCAAATGTCGATTAGTCTTGAGGAAACCTCTGCAGACCGATGAAAGAAGGAGTTTATTGTCGTTGTTGGTGACTGCGCCTCCTTGGTTACTAGAATGTTGCATTCGTTGTCAGACCAGAAGCCCGGGGTGGCGTAGTGTAGGAAGAGGCGTTGACGAGCAACCGCTTCGGGGGCCATCAAGAAAGTTATTAAAGGGCTACCTGTTCGACGAATGTCCACTTGCCAGGACGACTGGTTCTTCGAGCTCTCCTGCGCAGTCCCTCGGTGAAGTCATCTCCACGATACATCGCAAGCTTTCCGATGATCATTCCACAAACTGGAGACAAACGTGCATCAGACTTGTGTTCGTGCGGGCATAACTTCCTCCGCACCGAGGAATCTGTCTGCAAGGGATGTTTTAGGAAACAAGGACCATCTATCGCTAGCTGGCCCTATGCCTGGCCATACCTCCCCCACACCGCCGTATCCCAAATGCCGCAATACATCTACCCATCAATGCCATGTTGGACTACCTACCCATTCATGCCAAGCTGGCCTGCCAACCTCCAAGGGATCTACCAATACCAGCCACCCATCTGTCCGTTGGACCCCACTGGTCCGCAGACGCCACCCGCCATCCCGACCCCTGGTCCGCAGACGCCACCCGCCATCCCGACCCCACTCGACGAAGAAGGTGGAGGTCGGGCTGACTTGCCATTCAGAAGGGGTGGAAAGCTCGAGCCGGCGGAGTCGGATGGCGACCTCACAAAGACTTTGGACGCCTCACAGTGCTGTGCGACGTGCGGGAGGAAAGTCAAGCGGGGCATTTTGAAGAGGCTATTGTCTGTGCTGTTGCGCTTGCGACGATAGTCAGTCTCATAATCGTTGTCGTGAACCTCTTCTGAGGATGCAGGGGGTGGAAGGACGTTGCCCGGTCACTGGGCGTGTGGAGATCGCATCTTGTACTGTAATCCTGGTCCCAGCGGATCAGTATTATGAGAAAGAAATTGCGTTCGATTGGGAACAACGTCTGCCCGCCCCCGAGGTCAAGCGCGAGTGCTCTGAAGAGGGTTTTGTATGCACGAACACGGACATGTGCCTTATGTCGACTCGGGGGACTCCGTAAACAGTCTGAGTCTGGACTCTGCGCTGTTAGTTATGGTGGCGGCGATAAGCAAGTGTTTAGGCGCTCAGAGAGGGGTAACATTAGCGCTGCATTCGAGATCAGTGAGAAGGCAGGTTGCTTGACCGCACTACTCACACTTACTTACGGCCATGGACTTGCATGAGACCGAGGGAATCTCTATCCTACTACACGTTGCACATCTGGGAACGCAGCACATTACGTCCATGACGGGTCACCGGATGGGGTGAGGCGCGAGCGGTTGGTGGAGGCCAATCGCACCGATAGGCCGACGTCAGGTGAGATAGGATGATCGTCCTGCGTCGGCCAGCACCGCTGCCTCACCGATAGTGCGTGCGCCATATGCGGCTTTGCGCGCATTCTTAAAACTTAGAGCTGACGCTCTCTTCCGTGTCGTCCGACGTCAATCACCCCCGAGATTGCCTCCTCGACTTCCCCGCCATGTCGACTCCATCGTCCGACGCGATCCTCACCCAGATCCTCACCCAGCTTCAGGCGCTCCAGGTGTCCCAGCAGACACTGCAGGCCAAGGCAAGTTCAAGGAAGCATACAAGCAGGCAGTGTAGGATGGTGCTGACGACGCAGTGACGTCCACAGTTCGATGCCTTGAGTAGCAATGGCGTTGTAAGCCCACCTGCGTCCCCGGCTCGCAATGGCACTCCAGCATCAAGCGTCCGTCAAGCTGCCGAGTCCGTCCTGTCGTCTGAAGCCGCGACCGCGTCGCCCGCCAACCAACTCATCTCGCCCTCCTCATCTCCAACCGTGAGCAGCTCGATACAGGATAGGGACAGGGAGAGGGAGAAGCTGCTCTACCCGTCCCGAGTTCTCCTCACCAGTAAGTCACTGTCGTCTCTCGCGCCACGCCCGCCTTGCTCATGTTTCAACGCGCCATAGCCTACCCCGACCAGCACGGCATCAAGCCCTACCCCCTCCAATGGGGCGCCGCGGACCCGGCCGTCCGCGGGCCCGTCATCTGCTCACGCCTCCCCACCTCCATCAAGCAGCGCAATGCGATCGGCGCGCACTCGGGCTCGTACTCCATCTACCGCGCGCTCGCGATCGCGATGGGCACGCTCGACCCGTCGCACAAGCCTGACTACAGCAAGACGGAGCCCGCGGTGCCGATCCCGCCGCAGCCGTCGTGGTCCGACCCGAGCAAGATCGTCTCTTTCGACCCCTGGGGCCACCTCGTGCCGCAGGTGTACAAGCACGAGCTGGAGGAGCTCGGCCTGGACGTGCGCCCGAGCATCGCGGTGACGAAGGCGCACATGAAGCTGAGCGAGATCGACGAGGCGGCGCGGAAGGGCGACTTGACGATCGACGGCAAGATATTGCTCAAGAGCCACCCGCTCATCAATGCGGACGGCACGCAGAGCACCGCGGACCCAGGTGTGGAGATCAGCATCAGCAAGGCTGCGGTCGAGCCGGTTTGGTACTTGCCTGGGATTGCAGAGCGGTTCGGCATGTGAGTGGCGATCTCTCGTTAAGAGTACTCCAGGGAAATTGCATGCTGATCCTGCACTGTCAGCTCGGAAGGCTTGCTCCGCCGTGCGCTCTTCGAGGACACCGGAGGAATGTACCCAGAGCTTGTCACCCGGCCCGACATCAAGGTCTTCCTCCCGCCAATCGGCAACCTGACCGCATACATCTGTACGTGCCCTCGCGCCACCTGCACAAGCGGCGCTGTGTTCATCGCTTGATTACAGTCGGGAACCCCGCGTACTTGTCGGACGAATCGAAGGAGCTAACCCTGCGTGTCCACGACGAATGTATGCGCATACATCCCCATCTCTATTCACGCACAAGCTGACGTAGCGCTGCAGGTAACGGTTCTGACGTGTTCGGCTCCGACATCTGCACATGCAAGCCGTACCTGACCTATGCCATCGAGGAGTGCATCCGCGGCGCCCAGCGCGGCGGCGTCGGCCTCGTCGTATATTTCCGCAAAGAAGGCCGTGCCCTCGGCGAGGTCACCAAGTACGTCTTTGCCTGTCATCTCGCCTCGCGGCGACGTGGTCACGTTATACTTACGGTTCGCGTCGCAGGTACCTCGTGTATAACCTCCGGAAACGCGGGGGTGACTCGGCAGATAAGTACTTCAAGGCGACCGAGCTCATCGCGGGCGTGAAGGACATGCGGTTCCAGGCGCTCATGCCGGACGTGCTGCACTGGCTCGGTATCAAGAAGATCGACAACATGGTGTCGATGAGCGATATGTACGTCGTGTCCGCTCTCTAGTCTTTCTGATGCTGATGTTGTTTGGCAGGAAATACAACGCTATCGTGCAATCCGGCATCCCGATCTTGAAGCGCTACGATATCCCTGGTACGTGGTTGCCGTTGCGGGGTAGACTACGCTCGCGGACGCTGACTATATGCGCTACAGAACACCTGCTCCCGCCCGACTCGCGTGTCGAGATAGATGCGAAGATCGCCGCTGGGTACTTCTCAAGCAACAAGAAGATCACAGAGGCAGATTTGGTCAAGACGGTGGGTAGGACTTGGGAGGAGACCGAGCACTAGCGCGCAGTGGAACACCAACGCCGCTAGAGAACTCTTCGTACTTCAATTCCCCGGTGCACTGGGTGTATCCTATAGCATGTTGTACTGTATTCGTCGCGGGAATCATCCGCACACCTACAAGAAGCATAAATTACAACAATACAACGACTATGAATGTCCTTTTGGGCAGTTCAAGAAAGAGAAAGGTAGCTACTTAGCTGCTATCGGCATGAGCCTCGGTATCGGCTACCATTGCTTCAACCTCTTCATCGTCACCGTCAAACACATCCTTGTCAATATCCATATTCTCCGCCCTGACCTGGGCGAGCGCCTTCTCCGCAGCCTTGAACCGAACCTCGTCCTCGCTAACCTTGCTGCGATACGGCGCCGTGACCTGCAGCAGCTCTTTCTCATCAATGTACACTGCGCACGTCACGTCACCCTTCTCCTTCGTGAGCTTGTACTCCACCTCCTTCCTCGGCTTGTGCTGCGCGGCCCAGATCTCCAGGCGGGACACGGGGTGCAGCGCATCCACGTCGTCGTGCACGACGCGCTCGAGGACGCGCATCAGGCCCAGCGTCTCCATCACCTGCCGCACCTTTCCGAGGTCCCCGAACGAGTCGACGTACACCGCCCCGAGGATACTCTCGACCATGTCGCTGATGAACTTGGGGGCCTGGAGGCTCGTCAGCCCCGCCCATGGGTAGACCGCGTCGTTCTCGAGCGCGTCCGCGATCTCCGCGCCGTGCTTTTGATACCGGAGGAAGGTGAGGTTCTGGTCCTCGAGCACGCGGTGGCTCGAGTGGAGGAGACACTGCCAGAGGTAGACCTGCTGCGAGTCGTCGACGGCCTCGAGCCCGTGCTCGGGCGACCACGTCGGCATCGTCGACTCGACCGTGACGGCGGTCTTGAGGCAGGTGTACGCGAGGATGTGCGAGTTCACGACCGCCATCTTCTTGATGTGCATGTACCCCGGGCTATAGTCCTTGCCCTCGGCGTGGTAGAGGTAGTCGACGACGATCATGTCGAGCGCGGCGTCGCCGAGGAACTCGAGTCGTTCCAGCGACATCGTAGCGAAGTCTCCTTGGTAGCTGGCGTGCGTGAGCGCCTGGACGAGGAAGGTGCGACGGGCGAAGCGGTAGTTGATCATTTGCTCGACGAGCGCAAGCTGCTCAGGGATGTCGTCGATGTCGTCGACAGCATGCATCGCTCCAATGTACTCCGGGAGCTTCTTCCATGAAAGCCCAAGATTGAACGCAGTGACGCAGTCGATCGCTCGGTCAAACCCCCCGTCTTCGTACGCGGCTCCAATGAGGGACTCGACCACATCCGCAAGCATCTTGGTGGAAAGGTCTTCGGCTTTTCCCTTCCTACTCTCCTTGCTATTGCCGTTCTGTGCTGCGGCATCGCTAGCCGTGGGTGTGCCTTCTCTGCTGCGGTCGTCTAGAATTTCGTCGAATGCGCCTGCAGCGCTCGAGTAATGTGGCTTCCATTTCCTGGGGATAAAGCGATCTCTGATGATCCACCTGTATAGTCCCTTCTTTACGGCCCACCTAGCGAGGTTGACGTTGGCGACAGCGTGGTCTTTTTTCCGACTGAGATAACCTTCATGCCAGAGAGGGAAATCTGCATACAGTAGATTGCTCGTGATGAACTTCAACACTGTGTCGCCTAGAGTCTCGAGACGCTGGTAGTGGAACCGTTCTTGAGCAGCGGGCGCCGTGATCGCAGTAACGAGGTGACGGAGCGCGACGGTCGAAACAGGGTTCTGTTTGAAGAGGGATGTACGGAGGCTGTGCACGGTCAACGCCATAGCAAGCCAACGCAGGATCGAAGGAAGAAGCAGGGTATATTGAACCTCCGTCTGGGAAGCGAGCTCCACCAAGGTATACTGCGGATGCAACAGGAATGGTGCGTCTCCAGATTGGCTGGGGATTTCGTGGTCCGTATCCTCTTCAGGGAACGGTATGAGGAAATTCCGTCGTTTCGGAAGCGACCGAACGACCAAGAGAGGATACGTGATCTCTAGATCTGGGTACGCGCTGTACTCCTCGCGAAACTTCTCTTCCTCTTCTGTCGTGAGAGGATCATATTGCCACCGCAGCAGGCGGAGAGGCTTATTGTATTTGCTCACGCCCCGGACCAACGGAAGATTTGTCGGGTGCGAGAATCTGGCGCCAAATGCTGCAGCATTTGCTGCGAATGGTGTCTCGCCTTGGAGCGCCAGCCCACCCATAAATCGGTCGTCCATCCACCTGCGTCGCTCATCCCATTCTTCAGCGTCCGGCCACGACCCTATGGGCAAGAAGAGGTATGCAAAGTCTTCCCTGCCGCGTTCCATGCGGGGTCCGTACAGTCTCCAGAAAAGCCTGTATGTCCAGCGCTGGGCAAGGTGGACTTCCTCATCCGACGCCGGAGAGCCCGCTGCACCACCGATGGTCATCGACAGCTCCTTGCGACCAGGGACATACAGTGTCGGGAAATCCTTCTGGACGAATGTTGGCAGCGGACGGCGAGTGAACATGCGTAACGACGGTAGGCCCTCGACCACGAGTTCATGAGCGAACCAGGACGGCGTACCCTCCGCAGTGGCCCAGGGATCAATCTGGATGGATACCTGGGCGGTGCTTTCGCGTTTCGCTACTTCCGCGAGCATGGCCTTCACCTCGTCCTCTTTCTCGGGTTCGATGCCGCTGGTATGCGGGAGCAGATGGTTGTTGAGCAAGCCAGCTTGATATAGCGCCACATATGCCTCGAATGCGACCCGCTGCTGCGCGCGACGTTTGGTGCGGTGAATACGGTCAACAGAGAACTTGCGCAGGCTGCAAAACATTGATTACGATTCATCCAAGTCGGAGGACAATAGGACATACTGAGGAGGGAGTGCTCTCGGCAAGGTGACAGTTGCTCCCCAGGGACCTGTGTATCGCTCCGTGAATCGGGCATGCTCTGGAAGTGCGTGCCAGCCTTCGGCGTAATCCGGGGGATCTAGCTCGTAGATGGGTACAAGGTGTTCGTGCCCTCCTGTAGGGATGACCGCACAGAAATGGTTGAGATGGGGAACGGCAGTGTGGATAGTCAGGAGCGCCCTAAACGAAGGTAGGTGAGCTTGAGTTTCCACTGCAGAGGAAAGGACACCAACCCTGTCGAAGCGACCTCAAACTCGCAATATCCATCTAGATCGTCAAAGTCGTCCTCTTCGACAGAAGCAGCTGCGTCCCGCCTTGGGTCATTGTAGGCTGCCATCATCCGACGTTCTGTCTCCTCCCACTTTCGCACGACCTCCCGGGGCTCGGCCTGATCGAACATGATAACGAAGCTACTCCTCTTCCGGCGCGCACGGCCCCGACTCTGCGCCCAGGAAACAACGTTAGGGGGAATATCGAACCGCACGACGCTTCCACAAGCTTGGATATCAATGCCCTCCTCCGCGACCGACGTGGACACGATCAGGTTCTTATCTCCGATCTTGAAGTCGCGCAGGACGTCGGACTGACTCTCGTCGAGCATGCTCCGCGTGATGTCCAGAAACGAGTGCCGCTTGAAGCTCGAGGAAGAGCCCAGGAGACATCCTATACGGAACAGATGGGACGTCTCCGGGATGCGCCGGAGAAGCTCCGCGAGGACGAGGACAGTGTCGCGCCGAGTGACGAAGATGATGCCGCTATACTCTTCGTCCATGGATCGGAATAGCGCCTCTTCGACGAGAAGAGAGTCAACAAGAGTGCGGACCTTCGGTGTAAGGTTTGCAACGATCTGTTCTATGTCTTCAGATGGCTCCATCACTGAGACGCGATTGAGGATGCCGAGAAGATACCGCTTTTCCTTCTCCTGCCACGCAGACATGATGTTGTTGTATGGGTTCGCAGCTTGTTTTGCGCGCTCGATTACCCTCGCGATGTACCAGTCGGCCGCCCAAGTCCCGAGGTCGATACAGATGTCTGCGGCAGTACGAGCAAAGTCCCGCAGACCTTTGTGGGTGAACGTGTCTTTCTTGTCGAGAGCTTTCGAGAGTTGTTGATCTACGCGCCGACGGTCGTCCCCTGGCTGCAGCTTCGCAAGCCTCGCACGAAGGGCGATGACAGAAGGATCCTGTTCGATGTCTAGTTCCGCAATCACGACCTCGAGTGCCTTATAGTTGACGGAAGGAATGCCGTCCTGAACGTGGATCGGTGAGGCGTAGATGACGTGCTTGAACTCCGGTCGGTGAACGTATTGCGCTAGTTCATGTCGATTGTTGCGAGAAGACCGAATGGTACTGTCTAAATTCTTCTCTAAATCTCTAATATGGGCGTAGCGCAAGGCGAGGTGAATCATGGAGCCCAAGATACTGGAAAGCGCGCACACCTGAATGCAACATCGACGTTCGCGCCATATGTCGGGCTTGCCGTAAGTCCGAGGACCATGGGTCGCACACGAGAGGTCGACGTTCCTAACGGGCTGCGCGGTGGGAGCCCGAAATAGTGTTTCTTCATGATCATATTATACGGATGCTTGCCAATCGCGTGATGAGCCTCGTCAAACACCAGCAGGCTTATATCAGAACCCATGTCTACGTATCCCTGGTTCCCCTCGTCAACGTGATGTTCTACATTTAAGGCACACAAGAGACGAACATGATGTAGTGCATCGAGCAACACCTGAGGCGTTGTGACCATGATTCGATGCTTTGCGATAATGCCGCGCCAGAGGCCTGCGTCTTTCCATTGATTAGGCTCCGATGCTCCGGACACGTATCCGACTGATACTGGTATCGCGGTCTTGATAACTTCGGATTGCTGCTCTACAAGAGCCACAGTGGGCGCTATAAACCACGAAACCTAATAGACGACGAATCCCAATTAAGGAGATGAAGACCATAACATATATGCACAACAAAACGCACCTTACGAGACTCGCGCTCCGCCTCATACTTCACCCGGAGCACGGCGATATGAGTCTTCCCTGAGCCAGTATCGAGAGCAATGACGATGTTGCGGCGCTTGCTCTCATCGAGCAATTCTTGCTGGTATGCCCGCGTATGCACGATGCTAGACCGGGGCGGTTCGACATCGACGGGATCGCGAATCTCGGTGGTAGCCATAGTGAAAGAAGGGAAAACAAACGGAGTGTGTAGGATGTGGTGTTGGCAGTGTGGCGCGTGCTGGGTGGATACGATGAACGATGAACTTGGGAACAACCCGGTGGCACAGACCAGCGACACACCTTCAGCCAATGTGGAGCTCCAAACAAAGCGCAAAACCGTACTGTGGCTCTCCTTCTAGAGGCCTTCGAAGAACGAGTGCGATGCTTGGGCTGTTCGGCGACACAGCCGGATACTCTTAAGAGGCGACTACCGCAGCATCCGGCGGAGAATCAAGTTACTTGCGTCGCAGTCGCAGACAAACTCAGAAGTCATCGCAGCCATTATGCCAGCATAAGACGTCGGAGACAAAAGGCATCCTCATTCGTAGGTCTGGTATGAATGCGAGCGTTCGCGGAGTATGCAGCTATGATGGCGGAGAGGGAGAAGGTGTGTGCAGTACTTGCGCGTCTGGTCTTTGCGTAGTACGCGGCACGCGCTCGCATTGGCGTTGCCGACTTGCACGACCTTGCTTACAACCACAACGACTTCCTCCTGGTTTTGTTCGTGGGCCTCTCTGGCCCGCTGGCCCAATGTCTCAAACCATCCCTCTATCTAGAATATCTACGGGGGCACGTTCTCCTCCCTATAATGCGCCTCACGACAGTCCCAGTGGACCCGACTACCAGAACGGATTCCAGTACGACGATGTGGACGAAGGCCAGAACATGAAACCCTCTTGGAAGAAGGACCTTTACATGCTCTTGGAGAAACCCACGTCATCTCAAGCAGCCTTCCTGGTCCATATCTTTACTACCTTCCTCATCTCCTTCTCTGCGGTCGTGACTGTGCTGGAGACTGTTCCTGCGTTTCACTCCATCCCTGGCAGTATCTGGTTCGGATTGGAGACCACGCTTGTCGTGCTGTTTACCATAGAATACATCGGCCGATGTGTTGCTCATGGCACATCCTGGAAGAGGTTCTTCAACTGGATCATTTGTGAGTATCCTCCCCCATACCAACTGTCAAGGCCAAAACACCTACCACGTCGCAGCGTTCTTTGGGATCATAGATTTGTTGGGTATACTGCCGTATTATATTGAGATCGCTCTGCAGCAAGATACAGTGAGTGATCTGCTTGACCTCGAGATACTACGGCTAACATGTGGTTGGCGCAGTCTACGCTGTTCAGGTTCACAATCCTGCGTACTTTTAGGTTACTACGTGTATTCCGACCATTCAGATATAATAACACCATACTTCTGCACGTCTTTAGTTGTCCTGCGCCAGAAGTTGACCGCTAATACCACGTTCAGCACTATCGAAGTAATGTACCTATCCTTCCGGCGGTCCCAGCATGCCCTTTTAGCACTGTCATTCTTCGTGGTGATGGTCTTGGTCGTGTTCAGCACGTTATTGTGAGTGTTATGCCTGGATGACCCGTGTTACGGTGAACAGAGGACGTTTGTGACCAGATATTTCGCTGAGAGGGGCACTTGGGACGAGGCGCTTGGCGTCTTCCTCAACTCGGACGGAGACCCCAGTCAATTCGCGGTATGTGTCTCGGCACATCTGTCTACCGGCATTCGCTGATTGGAGCCATAGTCCATTCCCGCAGCCGGGTGGTGAGTGGCATTAACCAAGTCATTTTACCTGTGGCGCGTGGCTAATTCGCGTCCTCGCGCCGTTGTGCAGGTTTGTCTTAGTCAGTGAGTGCTATTCGGCATCTCCGTCCGCTTGCCTGTGTTAATTGGGGCATAGCTATCACCACTGTAGGATACGGCGAGATCACGCCCCGGTCATTCCTGGGAAGGCTGATCACCCTCCCTCTCCTCGTGTTCGGCTTGCTTCTCATCGCGCTGCCCACTTTCGTGCTCGGGCGAGAGTTCAGCATAGTCTGGGAGTTCATGGAAGAAGCGCAGGTTAGTCCCGCGCCCTTTGCTCCTTCTCGAAGGCATCAGACTCAACCCGGCCCCGAACCTTCCTGCAGAAGACTCGTGAGCAGGACCAAGACATCGACCCATTCCACGATCCCCTCGCGTCGCCACTGCTCAGCAGCAGGCACACGCAGGGTATCGCTGCCGCTACTGCCAGCCTGTGGCGGCACGCAGCCGAAGAAGCCACCTTGCCGCGTCCGAGCAGGGTCGCTAGCTCCAGCGGCGCAGTTCACGGTTCTCCAAACCCTGCGGCTTCCTCGGACCACACTCAGGCCGGGTTATCGACGCAACTCGCGGAGCTTCGTGCCAAGGTGGACGCGCAGGAGGAGATACTGCGACGCATCATGGCAGCTGTTGAAGGACCCGGCGCAAACCAGAAGCAGAATCGGGGTATTGGCAGTCAGCAGGGGAGCCGGAGTAGGTGATACGAGCAGAAATGTATGGGTAAACGAGGCGCCTTACGACGTCCTTTGGGGTCTGAGGACATTAGGTAACATTGGCTTTTCGGAATTTTTATGGTGCTATCAGAGCGCCAGGGTCACGGCAGCACTTGAGGCGATATTGGAGGTCCTCATGATGCGAGTATATCGCACGATGGTCGGGAAATCAGCATGCGTTGTTCAACCTTATCGTTCCCTGGAACGTACGCAATGCCGAACGGTTGAATGATTGCGGCGCTGTAGAATCGAGCAATACCCAAGTATGGACTCAAATCACAGGGGGGGACAGTTCGATCTCTGTAGCGATACTGTCCTGTACCATGTATCGATGCTCCGGGTCAGACAGTCCTGGCAGTAGAGAAACCGTGTCGCATAATACCCGCCCCTTTTGGTAATGTGTCTCGGCACAATATACAGACATTGTTATGATTACATATCTCGTTAGGACAACCTCCCAGCAGCGTACCAAGACTTGGACATCTTCTTTCATGCAGCTGCCATTCAAAACTCCTGACGCTCTTCACGGAGTATCAAGGCTCTCGCATGGGGAGAACGCGCTCTGATATCGCAGCGCCAGTCTTCTGGGTACCTTTTCAAATCCATCAGAAGACCGTTCATAGAGCAAAGCAGGGTCTCGGCTTACGAGAGAATGCCGTCCTTCATTTTCGGCTCGATGTAGATGACCTCACCGTGTTTGTCGAGCGGGCGACCTATGTCAAAGACATGCAGCACGCGGGCGATCTGAATGAACAACGCTGCCTCCGCAAAGTATCGTCCTGGACAAATCCTGAAGAGCGTTGAATTAGATGCCGTCATGCTGCTATACAAGCTTGGTGCCTACCTTCTCCCGAAGCCAAATGCAACCGTTGCGGGGTCCCTGATGTCCGGATCGAGCTTCCCTTCCTTCAAGAAACGCTCCGGAATGAAGCGCTCGGGTTGTGGGTACATCTCCGGGTCATGAAGGATGGCCCTACACAGTCACAGACACTTCATCAATAGAAGCCCCTCGTAGAAGAGGTCCGAAGACAGGAACACTTGCCAAGAGTTCGGGAAGACTACCGTACCCGCGGGGATGAAGTATCCGTCGTACTCGTCGTCTTCCAACACGGCATGAGGGATGCACAGCGGAACCGCGTTCTGCCACCGGAGGCACTCTTTGACGATCGCGTTCACGTAGGGGAGGTCACTGCGATCGGAATGGTCGGGCAGCCGTTTCGGACCTACTACAGTCATGAGTTCCGTCTGTGCCTTCTCCACTACTTCGGAATGAAGTGACATGGCAAGGAAGAAAGTTTGAAACGTGGAAATCGTCTGGAGGACAACTTGAGAGTCAGCTGAGGTTCTTCTCACCGACTGATCGTGCTCACCGTGTCGGCTCCCCCTGTGTGAACCGCAGCCAGGATTCGATCAATGCGCTCATCTCATTCCACAGAGGTCAAATACACCCACCCGCGTAGGAGATAGCTGCCACGTTTCTGGCGAGATGTTCTTCCTCGGTAGCCGCAGAGTCTTCCAAGTGAGCCAAATTCCCGAGGATAGTGCCCACAATCGAGGGCGTCGGGTCACAACGCTTCTGCTCGTGGCTTTCATCAATGAAACTTAATTAGCCTTCTGTCAGACAGCCTACCATCGCGGCCTTAGCTTGGGCGAATGGAATGTCCACCATCTCATGGGATGCGTCTCTCCATCTTCGTAACTTCTTCTGGAAGCCGGCGCCAGGTAGCCATTCGGGTATGTGCCGCAAGAAGGGAAAGTATTCCACGAGGAAGGCCCCTGGTGTGAGACCTTTGGCGACGCCTTCCATGGCAGCATCGATGACCTCAATGATTTTATCGCCCTGCTCGGCGACGTCGACGCCATACACAGTCTTCAGCACGCTTGCAGCGAATGCACTGTGGAGAGCGAAGGGATGTCAGGACGGGAAAGGCTCGGCATTCACAGGGCGGATGTCCAACATACTGTCTGATGTGTTCCTCGAGCCTCTCAGGGCTTGTATAGAGCTTGCTCAGGAACCGGTGAGATACATCCACCTGGATGCCATGGTATTTTGAGATGACACCTGGGTGAAAATGTTGCCAGAAGAGACGTCTATGTTTCCGCCAGGTCTGTCCATAGGCCATGAACCCAAAGTCCCATTCCCAACCAATCCTGCAGATCGCAATAGACGCAGTCAAGATACGCCACGAACGATGACGAAGGAGAGAACCTACAGATCAAACATCGGGGATTGCGGCCGGTCAGAATAATTCGCCGACCGCTTCTCCAGAAGCTGGAATACTGCCCGAGGGGTGCCGAGGATAACCATTGCCTGACCGAGCGTGCGGAAGAAGATGATGTCACCTGCCAATCTGCAATAAGGCACTTCACAGACCATGAGACTATCCGACATCGTACGCACCGTACTTCGTACATAGGTCACGGTATCCGGCCCATGGTGTGGACTTCGGGATATCGAACAGATTGCCGACAATGGGCAGAGGTCTCGGGCCTGGAGGGAGAGGTCTTCCGCGGCTGCGGGCTCTCCAGTTGCTCGTCGCCCGAATGTAGTGGACGACAAGGAGAGTGAAAAATGCACAAGCAGCGATAGTAGGAGAAGACGGGGACAGAGAAGCCATGACTCGGATGCGTGGAGCTCGATCCTGCCCGGGCGCCGCTCTTATGACTGTCAGCGAGACGCCTGGTATACGCTCGCGTAAACACTGAGGAAATCGCGATTGTCAATTGCCACCAAGCACGATCTATCAGGGTAAAGGCCGCCCAAATTCCCGCCACGCTCTCTACAGGATCCACCAATGACGTGAATCAGGGCAAGGAAGCTCGGAAGTCAAAGTGATAGCTCACCCCAGTACTACGTAGAGCGCCTTCCAACGCACATGGCGTCTCCGGCAGGGGCGACACGCTGGCTAAGGCGTTCACAAGAATATAACGCTGGAGACAGGGCCACAGGGTTCCAGGTAGGTAAACAAGAAGATTCTAGATGATTGGATCGGTACTTGTGAGGTGAGCAAGGCTGCTATAGAAATGAACTCAGCTGACTAGCATGTTGCATTGCTGGAAGGACGGGACACCAGGTTGTGAATATGTACAACCAGTACCACGTTCATCCCAATGACGAGATGACCTGTACCATATTGAGAGGCACGTATCATGCGACCGTCTGGGTTGGCTGATCGTGAGTAGACTCACCGGTTGCTCTCATGGTACGACCGATCGACCAGTTGACGGATTGCTAAGAACCGAGGAGCGTAGCGATCTCAGAGCAAAGGACAGATGGAAAGACGCTTTAATCCATATTCATCACAGCACAAAGCCATGCTGGTGTCCTGCAAACTAGAGAGAACGTCGATCAAATTCAGCCTGCTCCCGAACAGCTGAGAGGGTACTAGACCTGTCCGCCGGCGGGCCTTCGTTTAGAGTTTAGAATCGACTAGGCCGTTTCACAACGAGGTGGATCGTTCTCAGCGGCGTGTCGACTCCCTAAAATAGTCAGCCAAGACACCGCACTAGGAGTGCAGTGACCACGCCTTTGAGTGCGCTGCCAAAATGTCTCAGGCGAATTGGACGCGCATGCGGAATGCATAAGAGGATGCATGTAAGTTTGCTACGCGAGGACGCACCTGGGATCCATGCACTCGTTCGACGTCTAACAACAAACCTTCTGAGGCGCGCTGCGCAGTGCCAGAAAGCAGCAAAGTGCTAAGATTTGGAGCACGTAAAACCTTCGTGAAACGTTCATGTTCCTGAGGACGGCGCTGCGTCGGTGCGCCGGAGGAAAGGCCTTCGCGGCAGTTGAATCACCAGGGAGCGACGATGGCCTAGATCGCAGATCTTTCCAGGGCGGACTAAATGGACTGGCGAGAGCGGATACAACCGGAAGCCGTGATCCTGGGATCTCTGATTGTCCCAGTCTATCCATCTTCTGAGACAGTTCGTGTCAGATGGCCACGCACGACGTGTCCCAAATCCCCGAAGGCCACATACGATGAAGCACTTCCGGGCCGGGCAAGGCTTCTCATGGTAGCCGCACGGAGAACGAAGCTTAACAGAGCTCAGTCTCAATCTGGCTATTTAGGTTTCAGGGCGCAACCATTTTTATTCGTTTGACAGATAGGACTCCAGGCTATGGTCAGTAGGGACGGAAGATTCAGAAGCAGCTTACTAACATATGCGAGAGTGTAACGCGCACCACACTGCTAGTAGAGCTGGGTCGCTTGTGCCACCGCTGACCGGAGAGAGAACTGGTTGGGCATTGAGCCTTTCTTGCTCGCGTTCCTAGGGCCTAAGTCAATCCACGTTCCGAGGTGCGGCTCTTGGTGTTTGCGTAGCTCGTTTCCTGTAGCGCAGACCGAGTATGAACTGTGTGGCGAATCGCGGAGCACTGTGCCTTAGCATGTTGCTAGCAAGAGGCTCGTATTATATGGGACCGATGACTTGATTGTTCTCCTCCCCCTCTGAGGGCTCTGTACCTATTTGATCTTGTTAGGATCAGAGGCCGTTGCGTAACATGGCCAAACACTACGCGCGCTACTCTGATTCAAGTTTCGGCGTAGTCTCGGCTCCAGACGTTCCACAGCCCTCTCTGCCCCGGCACTCGATGCTTCGCTACGCTCAGCAAGCCCTGGGAGGGAGGGGTACGGATTAGGAAGGAAGGATTGATGGAAAGGATCGTGAATGGATCTGAAGAGGGGGAAACGAGCGCCGGGGGAGAGAGGGCTGTAGTACTGTGTGTAAGCGCCAGAACGGATGGGAACGAGACTAGTTTCGGCGACTCGTGCAATCTTGGGGTCATGCATTATAGCAGCCACCATCGCCCGAACATCCGTGACACATATTGAAGCATGATGCAGTTTGAGAAATTTCGCCAATAGCTTCTTCCCCAAGGAGATCAGCCCGATGTGCGCAGCCAAGCCAAATCCGCCAGGAAGAAGCCACATGGCAGACGATTGACGGCAACGTTGAGCCGGTACACTACTGGATGGAGGGTAGGAGAGCGACACAGTAAAAGTGGCTTGAGGCTCACACACGGAGATCTGAGGGTCTCAGCAGCTGGCGATGTCGATGCAAGGAAATCTTGCGACTATATCATGTAGTGCGGTGACCTACTAACGTCCAAATCTTGGTTGAAGCCACTTCCGTCCGCGCAGTCGCGCCGCGGCACCTGCTGCGCTGACACTGCTCGGCCCTTGGGTTGGTTGACTATTATTCGTTTGAGGCATAGGACTATCGTTCCACCAGCATCATTCGCTTCCGGGCTACGTTTGCTGTGGCGGCGAGTCCTCTTACGAACCAGCCGTAGCTCGCTGGAAAACGTGGGAGAGTCCCAGTGACAGAAGTCTTGGAGCGGAGCAGAGGGTTTTCCCCGAGGGCGCACGCCTTACCGCAGTCTGTGGAGAATCAAAACGGAGAGACGCTCAACTGCAGTAAAAACCAGTCGGCGGTAGTTCACGCCACCAGTATACTTGACCAGCTCCATGTCGTCGCGGAGTCAGGGCCCTTATTCGGCGCTCGTTTCCGAGTACAGCAGCCTGTACGGATTCTCTCCTTCGTCAGTACTCATGTGAAGCTAGTGCTCATGCTGTGTTATACGAAGGCTCATCAACAACCACCTGCTCAATAGTAGCGATAGGTGAGCGATCTAGATATTAGGGACATTTTGACATCTGAACCAATGAGCTGGCGTTTTTCTCAGTGCTATTCCTATACGATTTCTTAGTCATCTATACAGACGAAGTAGTATGCTTCTGGAGAGGAAAATGGACCGGCGCAACTGTCCTGTTCTTCCTGAACAGATATGTCGCGCTTCTGTCTACTCTCTTTGAGTTCATCTACGGCTTCGTACCTTGCACAGAGTCCTCAGTACGTTATAACCCCCATTTATCCTACTCAATGTCATTTTCAGCGTATCCATTGAAAGTAGGTGCGACTGTGCTCGCGAGGATGGGGTGTCGCTGATGGCTTGGCAGCTGTATGGCCGGGAGCAAAGCCTGCGTCTGCCTCTAGACGGCCAAGTACCTACTATGGGCAGGTACGTCTATATCAATCATGAAATCTGGGCACATGAGCAGGTTGTTGACCTGCCAACCGATTGACGTAGCTTTCTCGGGACTTCGCTCATATGCACTGAGCAGACAGATGTTCATCTCCGGCATTGTGTTCTCGTTGTCCATCGTACCGATATGCACTAACTTGGTACGTGCGAAATCATCTTCAAATGCACTGTGGGCGACCATTAACATCATGCCCAGGTAGATGTTTTGGGATTCTGTCAGATCATCTGTATTCCGGAGGCTGGATGCACGGTGATGGACACCATAGGACCTAGGTTGTCACATGCGTATGTCTACCGTCTATTTATCTGCACGCTTCGGCCAGAACTGAATGATTTGTATAGATGTCACTAAGCCAGAGTGGCTGCAGAGGCAGAGACACTCACCGTCCATCTTACAGTCACGATCGCTTCTCGCGGCTCCCTGATTGCCGCAGATATCATCCTCATTTCCATAAAATGGGCTACGCTCGGGCGACGAACTGCGATGACCTCAAGGCCCACCTTTGCCAGTGTGATACTACTAGACGGTGAGTCTGACATCTGTATAATTAGAGTGCCTAGTGACAGTCAAATCGCGCTGCAGGAGCCATCTACTTCATGTGAGCCTTCTCTTCAAAGGAACTGTGATCGCATTACGTGACATTGAATCTACATAGATGCTTGTTCATCCTGAAGGTCTAACACCTCTCGTTTATGCTCACGTCTGCAATTCTACATTGAGCCATGCCATGAAGACAATCTGCTGATCTGAGTGCTTATCAAGGCATTGAACCCGTCAACACAGTTTGAGAGCAATATTGTACTCTTCACCGAGCCGTGAGTAGCAACTTTTATGGACTGCTAGATCAAACTGAAACAGCGCTCCTACAGGCTGACCTCGATCCTCATCTGGCGATTCATGCTGGACCTGCAAACAGTTCATAGCGGGAACTATCCATCTCGACTCCCAGGGTGCTGCTCAAGACCGGGCGTCCTCGCTCGCCGATTCCCTTGTCTTCGAGCGTACGGTCGGTTCTCTGGTATCCTTTGCCACAGCAAGTCGACATGTCGATGCCGACGGCCGAGAACCCGGCAGTACCCCACCGCAGGGAGACCCGCCAGCCGCACGGCAGGAACTCCACAAAGTAGAGCCCTCGCTCAAGGATAACACAGTGAACACATGAAGATTGGGTTCAGGATCGCACGGGAGGAGTCCCAGGTAAGACATTCAGGTTCAACCCTGCGTCACAGTGAATCTAATCGCAGTAGGGAAAAAGTGGTCAGGTATTGGATCCTGAGCCTATACCCTGATCTGTTCCAGTGATCAGTACGCGTCGTATTTTGTTGTATAAGGCGGCAAACCATGTAGCGAGAGCCGTCTCGGCATTTTCCCAAATATTTATTGATCACATACGGGCCATGCCAGCCGGATTGTGGTTCAGCGTACTGTCGCTTTGCGCCCGTGAGGCTGCTGATGGATGTGATCTTTCGCCTAAGAAATGGTTGAGGGCCTGTTCGGCAAAGAGTTGGAGTTAGAGTTACCGGCATTTCATGCCCAAATATAGTAATAATATCTCGGTTTTCAATCTCGAGAGAACTCGAGTTACTCAGGCGAGTGCATGCGTTCGGATGCCTCCCAGTAACTCCGGGCGGTTGTTATCAGAGCTCACGCGCACGTCGTAACTTGTCTCGAGGCTCTACCCTTTTGGCAGCCTGCTTGATTCTCTCTTTCTAGAGTATTGGGATGGCTACCATGATCGACGTGGAATGTGATCAGACATCTGAGGTCATCCTACTTGAGGCCTGAGGGATTAGAGCAGCTACTACCGAGGCCCGCCTAGTCAAAACAATGACAGTTACTGCTATTATAGCCTGTCTTCGGCGCTCTATATGAGCCCGATATTAGGTTGGTGAATTTTGACAGCTGCTCTTGTGCGGACCATGGTGAAGCAGGG